GGAAGCACCGTCACGCAGCCGGTAATCTGAATCTTGGGGGACCCGAAGACTCCAATATCCCTTAATTAACGAATATACTTGAAATCATATTCGGGATCCTACTATAATTTAAGGTATATTCCTTAATTTAGGGATATTGGAGTCTCTGGGATTGGGCCTTAATGTTTAGGGCTTAGGTGTTCTGCCTAATATGCCCCTAATAAGGATCCCTATAAATATGCAGCCCCTTAAAACAGAAACCCCAAGTAAGGCGACCACCGACCTTTATAATAGTTGTGCCTTAATAATTAAACCCTAAACCCTAAACCCTAAACCCCTGAAGCCCCTAAAGTAGAACAGGGCTCGGTCCCGTAAGGGTCCTCTGAGGATTACAAGCAGGGTTCTGGCATCAGGGATCGAAGAGTACAGAGGCTTTCGCTTTGCGGGTTTAGGGCTTTGGGTTTAGGGTTTAGGGTTTAGGGCTTAGGGGATTTAGGTCCAGAGGCCCTGAATCCTAAACGTGGCTTAGAGCTTGTTAGGTTTCGGATTTAGCACGATCCAGGGGCGTGGGTTTCCATTCCCGTCAACCCTAAAACCTAACCCCTAAAACATCTAAACCCCGTAGAACCACCGAGTCCCTCGGATGCCTTGCCAAAAACGCGAAAAAAGAAGCTCTAACCGTCCGCCCCTCTCCAAAACAAAACTCAACAAAAACAAGGGGTTTAGGGCACGCCTCAACCCTCTCCAAAAAAGGGGCTCGAATTGGCCGTCACGGGCCCTAAGCCCTAAACCTTAAACCCTAAACCCTAAACCGTCTGCCCAGGATGTCGGATTTGGAGCCTCTAGCCTGGTCTTCCCACAGAGCCCGAAGCGTCTAACTAAGGCCAGTAGACCTAACCCCATGATACACCTTCTAGAACCCTTTAAAGGTAACCTTCTAGAGCCCTTTAAAGGAAAGCTGTGAGACTCTAAGGCACCTTGTTCTGATGATTGAAGGATATGAACCCTAACCTTAGACCCCAAACCTTAAACCAACCCTAAACTCAAGCACTGGCTTTTGACCGAGCTTCTTCGACTTCGGCTTGGCCTGCCGTGGCTGCTGGCCTCCCACGCAGGTGCTTACAGGTTTGCCAGGGCTTTACTTAGGGTTTGGGGTGTTTAGGGTTTAGGGTTTAGGGTTTACGCAGCGAGCAACTTCCCTGCCCAACATAGGCATCTCTCCTTCTTTACCTTCCAAACATATGGTCTAATTAAGGCCCGGTTCACTGTCTTGCTTCCAAGCTTGCAATTTCCTCATCATCTTTCTGTGTCCTGTGGTGAAGCAACCACCGGACCCGGAGAAGGAGCCATGGCTCGCCTCCATCCTGGCACGCAGCGTTCGCCCGCCCTCCTGCTTGAGCCAGGGCCCTGTTATATCGCCCTAAACCATTCCTTAATCAAGGGGTATTGGGCTCTCTGGGAACTGTTCCCCCCTGAAGTTTAGGTTTTACACAGCCTACGCCCGTGCGACCCTGAGCCGTAAGCCTTGGCATGAAAGCTTCTTCGGTCGGAAACATGCCGCCCGAAACCCTCAACCCGACTTTAGGGGTCGAAAGAGGGTTTAGGGTTTAGGGGTTTAGGGGCTGCAGAAAGAACCCGTAACGAAATCTTGAAGACTTCGCAGGCATCCCGTCAAGAACAATTAAAGAACCTTTCTGTTATATAAAGGAAACTACAGGTGGGGAGTTTAGGGTATATAGGGCTTCGATAAGGCTTCTATGAGGTACATAGACCTTCTATAAGGCTCCTATAACGGTAGCTACCCACCTGAAACTGTCCTAGATTCAAGAACCTTTCCGAACCGCAAAAGAACATTTGTGAACGAAAAACCGTAAACCCTAAACCCTAAACCCTAAACCCTAAACCCTAAACCCTAAACCGTAACACAACCCTTGAAGACTAGGTTCCCCAGTAGCCCCTTGACAATAAGGGTGCACTTTTTCCTACTGTTTGGTTTTTGTAAGGGAACCGAAAAAGAAAAAGGGCAAAAGGGTACTACTGGGGAACCTTGAAGAACCCTAAACCCTAAACCCTAAACCCTAAACCCTAAACCCTAGACCCTAAACTTTCACCCCCAGCCTCGGTTTTGTTGAAAGGCCCCTTGATCTCGGACTGAGCCCTGAACCCTTTTAACACCGAATCCCGAAACCCTAGCTAAATAAAGGGTTTAGGGTTTAGGGTTTAGGGTTTAGGGTTTAGGATTTCTAAATAAACCGCAAACCCGAAACCCCAAAATTCGAAACCTTAAATCTTAAACCCTCTACCCTCAACCCTCCTTCTCGCTCAAGGCTCTTCCGACGCTTGGCCGCGCCGCCTGGCACACCGATCCCGATTTCTATCTTTGTCGAAAAAAAGTGGCTTGTGGCTGAAGGTTTAGGGTTTTAAGGCTTAGGGCTTCCATAAAAGGCTCTACAAAGGGGGTTCTTATAAAGGTACAGTTTTCTATCAGGGCTCTCATAAGGGCTCTGACATCGTTTCCACAACGGGTAGGGTTTAGGGTTTAGGGTTTAGGGTTTAGGGTTTAGGGTTTAGGGTTTAGGGCGATGAGGATTCCATTCAGGATTCAAGAAGGGTTCTGTAAAGGGTTGGCTCTTACGAAGGTGGGTTCTTTAATGCTGAACCCTTCACGCTACATTCCCTAAACCTACAAGCCATCGCATATGAGAATCCTACAACACCCTGTAAAACTCGTATCAAGTCAAATGACAATGACAAAGCGTCCTCAGAAACCTACAAGAACATCCAACGTAATGTAGTACGACCTAAGCCCCAAAACCCAAACCCTAAACTCCTACACCTTGAACCCTTAACCCTAAACCCTAAACCTAAGCCCTGAAGAATAGTAGGAATAGAACTTATGAAAATTGTTACAATAAGAGTAACAATAATCATAACAATAGTAATCACAATGAAACCCTAAACCCTAAACCCTAAACCGTACAAAAAGGCTTCACATCCCAAGCCCGAAGGATTGTGCTCTTAGAAACCCTGCAAGTACTTAAACAACCTAGACATCCAAGTAAAAGCTATATTGGTACTAATAACAGCTATAGTAGTACTACGGAAATGAATGGTAATGATAGTCATAATAACAGTAATAAGGATGCCCTAAACCCTAGACCCTAAACCCTAAACCCTAAACCGACATCGATAAGACGACCTCAGATCCGAGCCTTTTTGGAGGCCTTGCTGCTCCATGTCCATTGCCTCGCGCACGGCAAGTTGCTTCGGGGTTCAGGGCTTAGGGTTTAGGGTTTAGGGTTTTGGGCTCAGGGTTTAGGCTTTAGGATGTAGGGTTTAGGGTTTAGGAAATTTGGGTTTAGGGTTTAGGGCTTCAGGTTCCGTGTTTATCAAAGTATTGGGATGTTTTCGGCTTCGAGTTTAGGGTTTTGGGCTTGGGCTGAGAGGGCTTACATGTATGTGCTTTGCTTGATGCAGGCGAATAGGTGCATTCTGAGCCGGGGTCCGCCTTTTCTTGCACTCATATGTGCACAGTTAGGGTTTAGGGTTTAGGGTTTAGGGTTTAGGACTGTTGTAGCAATGGCTGCTTGTCGACACGCCGCAAGGACTCGCAGCTTAACAACATGATCGTCTCTGTTGTGTGACAACCCCGTGACCACAGCTGCATCCATACGACGTCTGGATCTCTTGCTGCTTCGTCCGTCGGGCACAAGGACGAAGTCGTGTGTAGGCTTTTTGGTCTAGGGGTCACGCTTTGGAAGAGGAGACAAGTCTTAAGATGTGAGGCTGAGCTACGACGACATGAGTACACGTACAACTGCGATGAACTGCCGAGCATAGCTATCACTACCAACAACTGTACCTTAGCCTGCATGCGCCAAAGCCCTCTTCTCATTAGTTAAGATCCCTTTATGAAACGGGTGCTCTTGGTCCTGCTAGCGAAACACTTCGGGCTTCAAAGCATAGCCAGGGCACCAAACGCACCACAAAGCGCCCCAAATAGCTGTGTCTGCCTCGGATATGGCGTTGGTTAGCGCTTCAGGGTTTAGGCTTCTAGGCAGAACCCTCAGAACCCTCAAACCCAGCGCTTGGACAAGCCGCTACAAGCAAAACAGCAGTCGCAACATTAAGGCAGAACAGCAACGGTGAAACTGGTAGAGTCGTAAGACCAGCCGACTAGCCATGGTTGTAATGACAAGAATATTTTTGCTGGTGCTGTTGATAATGATAAGACTGATCAGGCTGACCCGTGGCACAAAAAACCCTAAACCCTAAACCCTGAACCCTAAACCCTAAACCCTGAACCCTAAACCCTAAACCCTAAACCCTAAACCCTAAGCCGTATGCCCGTATGCCCTGAACTCCGGGTTTCGGGTTTCGAATGGAGCCCTAAACCCTAAGCCCAGAACTCTAATCTGCCGCCAGGCTTGCAATGCAGAGCCCGTAGCAATGGGCCGGCAAAGGGAGCTGGGCTTAGCAAGTCAGGTATGCCTGAGCATCTGGGTCTTTTTCGGGCTTTTGCTACTACTGCTACTACTACTACTACTACTACTACTACTACTACTACTACTACTCGGGGTCTAAGGCTCGTGGCCTTGGCTGCTTTTGGGGTTTTTTCGCTGCTTATCTGAGAACCTGGACTCGATTGCACTGGTGTTTCCAGGACCTTCAGGTTTAGGCGTTAAAGGTTGTTTTGGTGACGTGTAGGGCTTGGCCTTTGCATGCGGAGGTTCTCTCGGGTTTTACATGCTGTTAACACTTTGTCTTGATCTGAGCATCTGGGTCCGGATGCTTATACTGTTTTTGACCGATGGGTATTTGCAGGGCCTTCTAGCAAACCCCGTTTCGTTTACGGTTTAGGGTGTGAGTGTTAATCAGGATTCTCGTGTGGGCCCTAAAACAGAAGGTCTTGTTGATCAAGAGTCTGCAGGCCTGCCAGCACAACAGAGATATTAGGAAGAACATCCTTCCCTTGCTGTGGTAGCCTGAAGAGCCCTGCATAACCAAGTAATGAAAAAGCTACACAGACATAGACCCTAAACCCTAAACCCAAAGCCCTAAGCCCTAAACCCTGAACCCTAAACCCTAAACCCCTAACGCCAAGCCCCCAAAAATCGAACCCTGAAGCCTTGGTAGCACAATCCTCAATAAACCTTTGGTACAACCCGGTACAGAACCTTCAACGGAAGGATTAGGGTTTAGGGCTTAGGGCATGGACTGTGTCTCACTCAGATGAGGTGGGCGAACGTGACAGCCTTGATGTAACGCAGTCCCATCTTCGGGAATGCATCTGTCAATGTGCTGGATGTTGCGCTCCTTGCAAAACAGTTCGTACATCATCCTGTCCGTGGCGTAAGCTGCCTTGTACTTATGCAAGTTACCATTGCTCGCTTTGGTTTTGCGCTCGAGTGCATCCCTCCTCACCATGGAACTTGCCGGCGATACGACCAGTGCTTTTGTGTGCTCCGTCTTCCGTTCTTGATTTCTGGTCTGCCGCTCTCCAAGCAGTAGACCCCGTCGGCGCCAGATGATCATGAAAGACGTATCCGGTGCCGTGTCGTGGGACAACCCACTGCAAGCGCATGACTTGTGCACAGGGTTTTTGAGGCTAGGGTTTAGGGTCGTGTCGAGATCATACACCCGAAAAATTGTCTTCCTGACGCCATTGATCAACTCGTCAACCAAAACTCACATTGCTCATGCTCCTCTTCCCAGGTCTTACCGCTGCTACCAACGCCATCCAATGCGAGCACTTTTTGCACATGTCACATATCTTTCTGCAGAACCCTGAAAGGAAACAGTAGCCCTGAACCCTAAACCCTCCATACCCTGAGCCCGAAACCAGCATGCACCCTTTAAGACACCAAAGGGCCCCCTACACGAACCAATCAAGCTGCAAGGAATGCGAAAATGGGAGTTTCAGAAAATAAGGGACCCTCATATAGGACCCCAACTAGTAGGATCCTTATTATAAGGACCCCAACAAAAAGGTACCCTAGTTTTCTGACATTCCCAAATCTTGCTTGAGTGCTCATGGGACTTAGTCACGGGGGTTATACACCAGGTCTCTACCCGCAATGACTTTGAAAACCAATGAAGGTACT